ACTGTTAGAGGCCTCTCTGCGAGTCAAGAGACCCAGCTCCTTGCCGAGGCGTATTTGACAACCTCCATGTGTCTCTGTCAGCGAGTGTCTCCGGGTGGCCTGCCAAGGACTGAAACCCATCAGCTCTCTGGTAAATAAACCTGTGTGATTTCTTGCATTGTTTGTTCCCTGTGTCTTCTCTCTTCTTAGTTTTTGGTTAAGCTCGGCCATATTAATTAACAGTAAGTACCCTTTGACATCTGTACTGGTATATCCGAATGAGGCGCTTGGGTCACCTGTGCGTAAGTTCCCAGGAAGTGGAACACACTGAGAATGAGGAGATGGGGTCGGGGTGGGGATTCTGGCTAAAGGACTCAACAGGATGCTTGCTGAACCCAGTGAGGGTGGCTAGACATCAGGCGAGTCGGGTTGGGCAAATGAAAATAGTGGAAATTTATTGGGAACAAGTACAGACTCCCACGTGGTGAGGGGTTCCCCAAGGGGGTGACCCACTGAGCCCCTTTTTTCTCTCTAAGGTTTCTAAAGGCTGCAGTTCTTTGCTTCTTGATGCTGCCTTCCAGTAGGTAGAACATCAACTTCAAAGCTCACACTCCCCCTTTTTCTCCCCCTTCAGCGGTAGAATTCTCTGTCTCCCATTTGTCGGCACTTGTTTGTCCTCTGAAAGTTTGCTGCCTCTTTCTCCCCATGCTTGTGGCTTTCCCTGTCTTCTGTGAGTGGGTTTCTTCCTCTCCTGTTATCCTGTGGCAAACACCCCCCCTCTTTTTTTTCTCTGTGAATGTACGTCTTCTGGCAGCTCCAAGCCCTCACCTATGTAGTCCTCCCCCATGGACCCTCTTTATTCCTAAAACTCCCTAAACCTGCCTATTTTATCCTAGAACTCCTTTCAAAGATGGGGATGAGGAATTTGACCAAAGTCAAGAGTGGGGGGGAGCTGGCTAAACTGATTAACAGGTTCTTTGCCCAGATTGTCTTCAGGCCAAGCATGAGGAGGCTGAGCAGGACTTGGTTAAAGAGAGTCTTTGTGAACCAACATATTTAAATTGGGGCAGGTGTGTGTGTGTGTGTGTGTGTGTGTGTGTGTGTAATTATGGGAAGGGAAGAGGCAGGAAAGTATTTTTAGATGGGACAAGACACCCCTCCAGGCAGCCTGGTGACTCCCTCCTCTCCTTCTGGAGAGGT